ATGAATTGAAGTTATTACATAGTAATGAATTAAAGTTATTACAAAAAAATAATGAATTGAAGTTATTACATAGTTAATGATAGTGCTTTTTGCATAGTACAAATAATACCATTGCAACCAAATGCTGATAAAAACTAACGATTAAAGTATTTGATTTTAAGAATAAATTGTGTTGACGAATGAAGGAAAAAAAAATAGCCAAGAAATGATGGATACAAATTGAAGTAAATGTCGGAAAATTGTTCTGAATTGAAAGCAGCATGCAAAAAAGACAAGAGAAAGGAAAAAATATGTAAATTTGTTAATCTTCTCGGAGGGCACTATGACTTGTCACCATTTATCGTTTTTCATCAATTTTTAGTTAAGAAATTTACGCTATCTTTTATGGAAAAAAAAGTGTATTTTTAAACTTATTCTCAAGCTCTCAATTATGATATCGTATTTATTTTACGCTATTTAATTTAATACTGAAATTAATATCAAGCTAAATAAGTTACTCCATTCTCGCTTTATCATCTCCAATTACTTAAACTTTTCAAAGATGAAATAAATCAGTTCGCTAATTTTTATTTTTGACTTTTTTGTTTAAAAGTTTTAAAACTTACAAATAAATATATGCGTTTAAAAAATATTACAAGTAGATGTGATCTATCCTGAATGAAATTTTTTGATTTGCTGCTAAACTGTTACTTTGATGTTACAATATTTTATAATGCATTTGCCACAAATAACGTAACAAATGAAGATTAACGTGCTCTGTATTCGTAGTTTGAAGGAAGGGTACTAAATTTTCGAGCAGAAAATAAATACACGTAAATTTAATTATTAATTTTCTGAAATTAAATTGAACTTTTTATAAAATCACTTACTTGCTACTAGGAGGCATACTGATTGCTTTATAAGTCGTTTCTCCTTTATAAGCTTCCTTTAGCGATGACGAAGGACAGTTAACGTCAGACGTGGACGGCTGCGTAACTACTGAAAACAATATTCATTATTTTAGCGTTAAAATTTGGATGTTACTTAGAACAATTACGTATGAATTTAGAAAATAGTTAAAAATGTGTATAGATGAATCATTGGTTTTTTTAATATTACATGAGCATCTTAATTATTTTGTATCATAAATTTAAATTAAATTTATGATAATGATATTTTGGTGGGCTGAATTCTCCAAACATTTAAATCACTTATTAATAAATATATTCGCTTCATAGAAAAGCATAACTCCATGAATAAAATAGTTTAAAATTTTGCAAACTTAAGTTTAAAAACGAAATATGAACTCAAAATTAATAACAAAAGCAATTAATAAAAAAACAAAAATCATTTTTTCACTTAAATATATTTTGCAATATAAAAGAAAATTTTTTGTTTGAAGCTGTAAATGATATTCAAAAATATTACAAGTTCAAAAATAGACCAATCGAAGGCAATTTTAGGCCAAAAAAATTATGTCATTAAACTATAATGTAAACAAACCAGCCGCTCGTATAGATTGTTTAATTTGTTGCTTGTAAGCTGATAAACCGTAAAGTAGAGCAAGAATAGCACCCAAATGACCATTCAAAATATCTGCAAAATTAAATTTGGCATTAACAGCAAAATTTTTTTGATAAATGATCAAAGTTAAATAGTAGCGTATGGGTTCTTTGAGTCTCACTTTGCTAATATTTGACATTTACGCCTAAGTCTTTGACATTTTTGACTTTGCTATATTATTACTTCAAACTATCAATTCATTTGAACGTAAAAACAACTTTCTATGATATATTTTTTATGAGTAAAGTGTTATTAGAGATTTGCAAACAATTATCAAATCACTGTGAAGGTCAAAGCTAATCATAATGTTATATTCATGAATGATGCAAAAATCCTGTGAACCTCAAAAAATCCTTCTTATTGCTATCATTGATGACTCAAACTATAAATAAGCATTTTTTTTACACTAGAAAGTAACAGTTTAATGATCTGCTATTGTGTCAAACTATAATTTACTGAATTTCAAAACAAAATTTGATCAACAAAAACTTATATTAATATTAAAATTATATTGATAAAGATTTATTCACTGACTTGAAAAATTATACATATGATGAACAAGTTTACTTTTTATAAAAGAAAGCATATTTTATAGAATATCATTCATCATTTCAACATTATTTTCATATATTTCGGTATATGATATTTTCATAGTACTGGCTGAAAACTCTCAGTACTTACTAAACGGTTAAAGAAACAAAAAAGATTTACTGTTATTGACTATTTAAGTTTTATTACTTAAAGGGAAGAGATATTCGGAACAAAAAAGTAATATTAGAAACAAAAATAAATGAACGCTAAAATATGTACATGTGATAACATTTTATGCAGCTATTCTCGCACATATCACCCTACACTATTTTATCCAAAATTGCATAAAAATAATATTAGATTTGAGTAAGCTTTTTTGCTGCGAATAGTCTCAAGCTGTCTTGAAAACTATTCGCAGCAAAAAATTTGCACAATACTATTGCTCATAAATGTAGCAGAAATTTGAATAAAAACTAAATAAATGTAATAATTGCAATTTGAAAAATCGTACAAAAATAACGCCACTTTATAAATTTTTTTTTTCACTGAATTTATGCCCAAGTTAATTAATTGCAATAAATGAATTTTGAGTAATTAAGTGAATAAATTCAAATGATTTTAGCATGAAATTAGTCATGATTTTTCTTTTTTTAATTGCAAATTTTACAAAAATTATGGCTTGAAAATAAGCATAAAAATTGATTTCTTAACACAACCAATTGCTATCATAAAAAATAATAAAAATGAGCAATGCAACAAGATAAAAAATTCATTTGTGGAGGCAAGAAGTTTCTTCTGATCTCAAAAGCTTAAAATGTTTTTCTAAGCTTAAAAGTGAAAAACAAAATTGAAACCAAAAGACGAAAGGAAACAAAAAGAAATGCTTTGAATTTGTAGACGAATTCAAAGCAATGGAAAAATTGGCATTTAAAAAAGTGTATACAACGTTTTATCATTAAATATTTAACTTTCAAAAGAATGATATTATCATTTCATCTGATTATGCAAACTTTCCTTCAGTATTGCATAAGCGATAGCAAAGTTACCATTTGTTACCGTTTTTATTGTCACAACTAAACAGATAATAATGTCTGTTTTTTGTATTCATTGATAGAACGATGACTGTTATCATTAAATTATGCAAAATATTAGCAGTCAGTAATGTAAGTATTTTGAATAATAATTGTAATTGTTATCATTGATATAAACGATTTCTAATATATTTTGTAGGCTTATTTTTGTAAATGAAGAAATTTAAAAAAATTGAATGAATTAATTTCGGCGTATGCAATTTTAATTTGACAATAAAAATGCAAAACATAGCTAAACAAACTTATTTTGGCAAATAAAAATATAAAGTGAAAAGGCAAATGTTAATTGTAATAAATATTCTTGTTTACGAAAACTAAATTTGAAGTCAAAGAAAAAATTACATATTCATTCTGCGTGTTATTGCCTAGCAAAAATCTATTTTAAAAAACTGAATTTTAATTACAAATTGGCAGTTAAGCAGAAGAAATTTGTGCAAACTTTAAAAAGTTAGCTAATAATATAACATTTGAAATTCATGAAAATTAATTTAATAAAAATGCAAAATACCATGAATAATCATTAGTTCTAACTTTAGCAATTATATATAGCACACTTGAATGCGTAAATTTGTAGTAATCAAATAAGCAATGATAAAGATGTTAGCATTGATAAAAAAGCATCAGTACTTTTACCAGATATCAAAAATATTGATATTTATGAAAAAATAGCCTTACTTTACTCAGCTAATCATCGTTAATAAAAGTTTAATCAAATACAATATATTGTTATCGGTATTAGTTTTTAGCACTTTTCAGATAATGAGAACGTTGAATTAATCCAAATAAAAACATATCCAATTTTTATAGTTACAAAAATTCATATATGAATAATAATATGTCTTAAAAACTATTATAAAACTTGTGAAACTGGTCTGAACTTTGTGCACTGAAAGCTTTTTATGTTTACTAACAATAATTACAAAACTTAATAATATGAGTATTTGTAAACTGCAAAATTTGACTGAACATTTAAAATTTCCATAAATTTTACAGTAATAAACATCAAAAAACTTATCTCATTATACGAATCAGTTTCATCAATTTCATAGTTTATCACTAATTTAGGCTATACAAATTTTTTAGGAAAATTAATTCTAATAAAACTGAAAAATGCAATAAGGATGATGATATTTTATTTCTAAAAAATATTGAAAATCTGTAAGTGCTATCATTTGATACTATGTAAAGTATATCACAAAATTCTATTACACTGCAAATGATAAAGTGATAACTGAGGAAGTTTTCAAATTTTTGAATAAATTTTTTTAAACTAAAAATTGTTGTGAATAACTGAAAACGAATATGGGATGCTTGCGATATTCAGTTACTTTTAAAAATGATATTTTGACTTTGGCTTTAAAACTTTTTATAAAAATGTGAAAAAGATTTAAATGAGTGTATTAAAAATGTTTTAGAGCATTTTTTGAGCAATCGTTGAATCTGCCAACTTCTGACAAACTTAGTTATTAATAATATATCCAAAAGAGCAATGTGATGGCATGACGTAGTGACCTTGGTTGATTTGACCAAATAATACTTTTTCATTTTTTTACAGTTTACTATAAAATATTTGAAAAAACAATAAAAATGAATTTAATTCATTTTTATCAATTAAATTTTGCTTGAAAAACCAATCTTTAAAAAAATGTTTGCAAAGCAATGAAATTTTCAATTATTTAACATCATTTTGTAGTAAGAAGAAATTAAGAAAGAATAGCTGCAATAAAAGTACTATCAAAAAATCATAATTTTTTCTTATTTACAAATGAAAACTGTATTTTAAAAAAAATAAATAAAAAATCATAAAGTTCTTAGAATTAAAAAAATAAATTCAATTATCAGTAACGAAAAATTAACGATTATCATAATAATTAAACTTGAAAATTTCCATTTATTAGGCAATATTTCTTAAAAAATAATTCTTTTTTGCTTCAACATTAAGTTTTAAGAATGATTTCATAAAAAGTATATTATATGTCAGCATTTTAATGACTAAATAAAATTGACTGAAAATTTTTGAAATTAAAATTTAAACGGTTTGAGCAGTTGATAAAAATGTTCAACTGAAATCAAAATTTTATCCATCATCAGTGCTAGAAACAAAAACCTACACTGTAAACTATTATCTTAGCATTATCTGTAAAATTTTCCCGTCCTTGAATTATAATCGCGTTTAGACAGTCTTGTTGATTTCATTCTACGCTACTATTCTTATTATTTCTAATACATAACGCAATAATTTGTCTATTTATCAATCCTTTTTACTGACACATTATGAGTGAAAATAAAAGCTCATAGCAAGCAGTTTGTTAAAAGTGTGTCAATCATTTTATATCACTGCAAATAGAATAATTAAACGAACGCTTTATAAATATGTCTACTGATTTTGAATATTAATTTATTGCTCGTAGTTTAATGACCTTTTAAAATATTTTTAAACTAATTATCTAATTTAAAAATTACTGTAATTATAATATTATATATAACTTGGCTGAGATATTGTTTGGAAATATATAAAAAAGTTAATTTTAAAGCTGTAAATATGCAAAAAACGATTATGAACAACTGCTTGTTAAATAAGTAAACCAATCGGAAATGCCATCATAGTATTCATTACATTTTTAACTTTATGGAATAACTGATAACTATCAATCACACTTCAACATTCAAAGCAAACTCAACAAAGTTGTCTTTAAATAATTTTGTAGTATTCAACTTTTTCAGCATGTCTTTTAAAAAGTTTGAGATTTTTGTCATCAACACTTTCTACATCATTACTGATCAACTAGCAATTAATTATCGACAAATTGATCACTTAACAATCACTAATGATGATGTCATTGTTACTACTATAATATTATTATTATTATTATCATTATTATTATTATTATTATTATTATTACTAATATTATTATCATTATTATTGCATAGATGAAATTATGAATAACCTTAATGAAAACTTTCAGAAAGTGTAATGGTGATTAATATCAATGTAGAAGACAAAATGAAATAAAAGTAATGCAGAAGAAGACTGCTATTCTCAAAGGCATTTAAGCAACCAATAATTTCATTAAGTAAGTAAATAATGAATAAATAACGATAATGAAGAATTTTTTATTAATTTTTGAAGCTGATTTCTAGTAATTATTATTATTTATAGTATTAACATTTAATATTTTAATTTTCATCATTCTGTAATGATAAATGAGCAATAGAAAATGTTTGTATTATAGCACTGAGTACTGGCCAGATTGGTTTACTTCATTTATCATCATTTATTTTGAGGTGTAATGAGTGAATGATTAATCAGAGAGAAAACCGTGCAATAATAATAATATTATAAATTATTATTACTATTATTATTATTTTCCTTTTTTTACTTTTAACATACTTTAAAATGTCAAACATTGTGCTTATATCTAATTAAATTGCCACTTTTGTAACTGAACAATTCTTAGTCAATTTAATTACATTGCTTGTATGATTAATTTTTTAATAAAATTAATTCTGTTTATTT